TTTTGAACGTGAGACAATGTTCACAGTCACTCAATATCTACCAGTCAGTGTTAAGGCGCACACACACACACATCGTGCTCAAGTGAGGTGTGTGTGTGTGTGTGTGTGTCCATGAGCTAAGGTCTGGCAAACTTAATCTTTACATACCGGTACAGCGAACACACCCACAAGGAAACCCATGTGCACAAGAGCTCTGTGTGTATGTGCGTATATAAACGTTGCAAGTACACATGGTCGTTTTAGGTGTAGACACATCCTATGACACTACACCCTAGTACACATGGAGGCAGGGGCGTGTACTCAGTGCCTTCCAGAGATTGCATGCCAGTACACTTCCCCTCATGTTGTAGGGGAGGCGGCAGGGGGGTAGACGGTGTTATACCACAGGAGGCAGGTTAGGCGATTATCCCGTGGTGAGGGGTGAGGCTCCGGGTCTTATGGGGTGGTTATTGTGGGTCTTAACTCGACTATTGGATGAGGGGGAGATGGGTGGATGTTTATGGTGGTGGACGAGAGAGAGAGAGAGAGAGTGAGTATACATACCAACTTGTTTACAAATACACAAGTAGGCCTCTTCACTAGGCCTACCTCAACCAACCTAATTTTGTATGATATAGCCCACCTAACTGACGCCTCTGGGTTAACCGTCCCCTTCTCTCTACCTCCTGTCCATATCAACAACGGACGGGAACGGACTTGAGTTTGTTGTACGTGTCTATCAGTGGTTGTGGTGGTGTACGTACTGTAGCTTGGTGTGGCCTGGTGTGTGTGTGTGTGGGGGTGTGTGTGTGTGTGTGTGTGTGTGTGTGTGTGTGTGTCCGTCCGTCCGTCCAGAGGTAAAGGTGCATCTTGCCTCACTGGTTCGGGCAACGTGACAACAGACCTTCAGGTGTTGACTGTTAATTAACCTGTATACGTGTAGCGCTTTGGGTGGGCGGTAGGTCAATGCTGTAGGGCGTGGGAAGGCGGCCTGCTAACGGACGTGGGCGACACACACACACAAACACACACACACACACACACACACACACACACACACACAGAAACAACAGATTAACGGTACCTTGAAATTAGAATGAAGGCAGCACGTGATCAATCATGTGTGTGTTAGAAAGTGTGACCACCCCCTCCCCGTGTGTGTGTGTGTGTGTGGCATTACAAACACAACAAGTACAGTATTCCCCCAACATACACACAAGTACACCTCAGAGCTTGTAACCTCCTCTCCTAGTGCTTGTAAAGAGGTACTTGTAAAGGTGACGTGCCCTCCCTTGTGTATACTTTCACCTGTGTACCTTTAATTAATTATTTATGACAATTGTATAAAAATTAATTACGCATTATAATTGTATACATGTCGGGAGAGAGAGTGGCTGCTATACGTGCACACATAACAGGTCTCACTTATGTATGTTATGTATACTGACAGCTAAGTATGTACAGTATAAGATGTATAATGGGACCTGTGAGACGAGTGACTTTTGTTGTAATATAAAGACAATTGTAGACCTCGATGGTAACCAAACATGAGAGAGAGAAGTAGCGGGGGTGTAGCCTAGGTGTATGACTCACGGCAGGTGTTTAGGGTACACCTGTTGAAGGGTGCCGGCGCCATCCCCCTCACACACAGATGACTACACATGCCTCTCTCTCTCTCTCTCTAACCCCCCACACGTCTGACCTCTACCCTCCTCTCCCATGACAAAGCCTCCTTCCCTCTTCCTCTTCACCTCATCTTTTTTCCTCCCTCCTCTCCCCCTCCTCCTCCCCTCCCTCCTCCCCCACTCTCTCCCCCCCCGAAACGACACCCCGCCCTTGAGTCCTAGATAATGCCATCCCACGACCACTGACCACACACACACACCCACACCCTAATCACGCACATACATAGCATTAAAGAGAGGCCAGTTTGTCACGTCGTGTGGGGTGGAGGGTTAGGGTGGTGGAGGAGGTCGTGCTGTGGGTGGTGTCGAGCAGGCACGGAGCAAGGTTACCCAGCTTTCACCAGACCGCCCCCCACCCACTGCTCTGTGTGTGTGTGTACGTGTACGTGTGTGTGTACGAGATTTTGTATACTATAAAGGAGTATTTATGTGTACATGGATACATGAATGTTGAAAGCGTGTCTACATGTATATTTTTTGTGTACACGTGTGGGTTTTTTATACTGTAAATGTTATGTGCGTGTCTATGGTGTACATGATGTGTGTAGTTTGGTTAGAGAGAGAGAGACTTAGGTAACCCAGTATATATGTCAACACGGGTACAAGTATCTCACCACTAACTGCACCATTAGAGCATAACAGTAATTAGCCACCTCCAGGTAACATTACACAACTCACCTGAAGATTAGACCCCCACCTTATTTCACCTCAAGATTAGACCGGTGAGTTTTTTAATTCACAAAGGTAGAATAAGTTTTTTTAATTACAGATGAATTTTTTATTCACAGGTAGGGTAGGAAGGCTTTTTAATTATCGGTACTCGCAGGTAACTTTATACTCCCCTATTAAAGTATAATTTAAGGGAGTCTTTTAAAAAGTATATATTCTCTGTAGGGAATCTTTAAAACACCCTTAAGGGAATATTGAGGTGAATCACTTTAAAATAATTCCTCCGTAGGTCGTGAATAAACCATCTTAAGACTATATAAACCAAAATAAACCGTAGAACACACCAAGTTAAACCTCCACGTATATACTTCCTTGAAAAATAAACCCTGAGAAGAAAACCTAAAACTTAAAACTCCAGGTAAATCTAAAACCCTCTTCAGTAAATTCCAGGTAAATATTTTTTTGAAGCCCTATTAAGGTGGAAGCCCAGGTAAGCCTTCCCAAAAAAACTATGTTGTATATAATAAACCCGGAGTCAGGAAGTGTGTTTTACCTGTGTTGGGGTGATTTACCTGGATGGAGGGAGAGGTGAAAGAGAGAGGGGGAGGGAGGGGAGGTGAGATAGAGAGAGAGAGGGGGAGGGAGGGGAGGGGAGGTGAGATGGAGAGAGGGAGGTTAAAGGAGAGACAGATAGGGAGGGAGAAGGATGTTAACAAGCAAAGTGTTAAGTCGTCGCCAGTGTGTGTGTGTCTCGTAGTCTCCACACACACAGGGGAAAGTCATATGTATTAAAGGTGTAAGAAGTAGTCAGACGGTTTTACACTACGACAGGTGACATTCAGGTGTGTTTCCTCCCTCCCCCCCCCTCCCCTTTACCTCTCTCACTCTCCCTTCTTTTCTGGCTCCCTCCCTCACTCCATTCCTGGCTCCCTCTCGTTCTTCCTTGTTTTTTGACTCCTTCACCCTCCCTTACCTCCCTGGCTCTCTCCTTCCTCCTTGGCTTCCTAGCTACATTCCTTCCCCCAGCCCCTCCCCCCTCTCACGCATGTCCTAGCTTTTCTATTCAACGTCACGCTCTCTTGACCAACATTGGAAATCACGCCCCCATGTGTTCAGACTCTGCGCCAGTGACATTATAATCAGCTCGTGGTGTGACACTTACCAACTGGGGAGAGGCAGAGGTAGTTTAGCGTTGTGATTGGCCCATTGGTGAGATAGTATATAGCCAATGAGAGTTCGTGTTGCTCATCTCTACGGTATGAAATAAATGAATGTGAATTGGTGCTGTGTGATTGGTCCACCTGGAAGATTGTATAGCCAATGAGAGCTTGTGTTGCTAATCCCTACGGCATGGAGTAAACAAAGATGTGTGTGTGTATATAGAGAGAATGGGGCTTTGTGATTGGTCCAACGATACGAGAGCAGCCGACAGTAACCAATGAGATTTAGTCTTTATTGATCAGGTTTATACGGCACGCACTGTCAACAAAAGCACGTGACAGGTGAATGGTGCCGTGTATTGGTTCATCTGCCATACATCAGCCAATAAGAGCCTCGGGTTTGGGTTCATCTTTCGTGCATCAGCCAATGAGTGCCTCGGATTTTGGTACATCTGTCATACGTGAGCCAATGAGAACCTCGGGGTTTGGTTCATATCATACTGCAGAACCATGACCATAGAACCCCCCCTGTCCCACCTCCCATACCCCCTGTCCCACCTCCCGTACCCCCTGTCCCACCTCCCATACCCCCTGTCCCCCCCCTAGAAGAGGTTCTCACGCCAGCCAAGGTTTCCAAGAGTAAAGAGCGGAACACCCCCCCCCCACCAGGATATTGTCGAGGTTCAGAGGTTCAGTACACGAGGTTCTCTTTTGATATGCTGCTTTGACCTTGAGAACTGTGTATTCCTTGAGTACGATGACTTGACCCCTTGAGCACCTTGAATTAACCCTTACGATAAATATAGTTGATATATTTCAGTGACACCTTCCTCATCTTAATCATTTTCCACTCTTCTCCTTTCCTTTGTTCCTTCTCTCTCTTTATTACTCTTTCTCCTTCCTCTCCCTTTGTTCCTCCCCCTCTCTTCAGTCTTTCTCTTCTCCTCTTTATCTCTCCCGTCGCCCTTAACCCTGTTACCTACACAACTCTCTCTCTCTTTCTTCTCTGGTAGTAACTCTCGACAGGAGCTGCCATGCACGGCAACCGGCCTATTGCAGACTCCTTTTTTTCTTATGTCAGGTTAGGGATGACGTCATCACCGCGGAGTATGGTAGGATTCGACGTCATAATCGTACGGCCAGGGAGTGACTTCATCGCCGCGTGGCCAGGTAGGGTGTGACGTCAACGCCACGTGGTCAGGTGTTAAGACGTCATCCCCGTTTATTCTGGTGGGGGGGCCCAGCAATAGTTGGTGACCTCGTTGGGATGACGTCATCACCGTAAGGTCGGCTGGGAGGGTTGTTTCATCACCGTGTGGATAAGTGACGCCATTTCCTATTGTCCAGGTGGAGATCCTTCCCCCGAGATGTGTGTTTTACGTCACATTCCAGTACTCGCAGGTGATAGGTCGACAACGTCTTTGGTATTTATGACGTCAGAGAGGTGTCCGTGACGTCACTGGAGAGGCTGTGACGCCCGTAACTAAAATATTCTCTCTGTTTACAGGCTGGAAGGCGACGGTGATGCCCTTGTTGCCCGGAGATGAGAGCCTGTCGACACTACCCGGTGAGTCTTGACGTCTATTGTGTCTGTCTGTCTGTCTTGCTTCCTAGTTGGCTGACTGTCTTGCGTAGCTGACAGGTTATTGCCAGCCTGGTTGACTGTGTGTGTGCGCGCGCTCTCTCGCCTACCACTCATTTACCTGCATAACACACAACACATCAGTACCCCCCCCCCGTACTTCCTTACCTGTTCACTCACCCACCACTCCACCCAGGTACTCCCACCCTAGTACACCCACTCAGCCACATCCTACACCCACCCAGGCACACCCATAACCATCCGTGTGCTTGAGAGGGAAGGTGGGGTGGATGGGTGGAACTAGCGACGCTCAAGACAGAGGAACTGCTCAATTTGGTGCTTCCGCTGTGACCCAGGTAATTAGCTAGGTGGTGGAGGAGGAGGAGGAAGAAGGGAAGGAGGAACTTGAGAAACATCGTGGAGGAAGGAAGAGGAGGAACGAACGAAGTGGAAAGAAGACAGGAGGAAGGAAGGAAGAGGAGGAACGAACGAAGTGGAAAGAAGACAGGAGGAAGGAAGGAAGAGGAGGAAGGAAGAGGAGATAGTTAGGTAGGATTGTTGTGGGAAGAAGAAGGAGGTAGGGAAGGAAGATAAAAGCAGGAAGGAAAGGAAGGGTGGAAATCAACGAAGAAAAATGAAAGGAAGTAAAAAAAAAAGGAAATGGAGTGAAAGATTAAGGAATAAAAAGGGAATAAGCAACAACAACAATAATAATGATAAACGGAACAAAGAGAACCTCGCTAACGGAGATTGAAAGGGCAAGTACCAATAACCTTTAGCAAGAAGAAAGGTCGAGAACTGGGAGAAGGAAGAGAGAGAGAGAGAGGTGGAGGAGGGTGAGGGAGAGATAGGTAGGTGTAGGGGGGACTGATAAAGACCACACACACGGTTCATTCTCCCCTCTCTGCCCTTTCCATCACATTTGTCCTCCTCATACATATCCCTCTTCTCTAATTCCCTCTTCACTCACTCTCATTCTTCCCTCTCATATTCCTTCTTTCTTTGTCCCTTTATATCCAACTCCCCCCTTCTTTAAGTTATCTTCATTTTCCTCCTTTCCATTCCACACTCCTCCCTCTTCCTCCTCATTTCTCCAAAGTCCCTCTCCTCTTCCCCCCCTCATTTTTCCACTCCTCCCCTCAGAGCCCCGGGGTCACAGTAGGTGCAATGTTGACTCTAATTGACCTGGAGTGTTTGGCTCCGGGGGTCTGTTTAGTCAGGAAGGGTCGCCAGGGGTCAGGTGTGTCTGGGGAGGGCGTGGGGAGGTCAGGTGTTACTGGGGGGTTAGGTGTGTCGGGAGGGGGGGGTGAGAGGGGGGTCCTTTCATATGGCCATTTTCCTAAGTGTGTGTGTGTGTCCCCATTGTGAAACTCTACGTTTGTAGTTGTTTTCCTAGAGTGAAGTGAGTCTAAGGTCGTACTCTGTGGAGGACGTAGTGTATAATATAATAATAATAGTAATGACAGTAATTAATAGTAATAGTGATGACCGTAATAATAATAATAGTAATACATAATTCATTCCAAAACAATATAAAGTATGGTACATCCTAACGAGAAACAAAACAAATTATATAAAAAATAAGTGAAAAGATAAAGTATATAAAGAAGATTTATATATAAAGATAAAAACAATATAAACACAAAACATATTAATTTATATACCAAATGGTCAACAGAATTTGGATGTGTTTATATAGACGTCAAGAAAAAAAAATTCAAACTGGCGAAATAGTTTAAAATTAGTAGTAACTTTTTTGTGAGTTATATATAGGTGTGTGGGAGGACGGGGCTGATACACTGATCACTAACACAGGTAAAGGATCAGGTGTGGTGGTGGGGCGTGGTCGGTGGGTGTGGTCTGGTCAGTGGGTGTGGTTTTGCTTGTCAGGTGGTGTGGCTAGGGTGTGGTATTAATAATAATAAACACAAGTATTAAATGAAAAATAAAAGTCACCTCAAATGATTTACTCCCACGTATTTACCTGAAGTTTAATTCAAGCGTGACGGAGGGAGGGAGGGAGGGGAGAGGGGCAGGTGTTGGTGGGGGACTGAGGAGGGGGAGGGGCCTGAACACAGGTGGTGATGATAAGTACCTGTGTAACAATTAATAATATTTTTTATTTCCTGTGATTTGGAGGCAAGACCCTGAGACCAAGGGCAGGTAAAGGCCAAGGTCCACGTGTCCTGGGTGAGAGAGAGAGAGAGAGAGAGAGAGAGAGAGAGAGAGCAGTGTGGGTGGGAGTGTATGGGTGGTAAGGACAGTGTGTGTGTGTGTGGGTGGTAGGGACAGTGTGTGGGTTTGAGTGGGAGTGTGGGGGTCTGGTGTCAGGGCTTCAAGGTGTTATGTGGAAGAGTTGACGACCCTGAGGGAGGGAGGGAGGGAACAGAGGCTTAGTGGGAGGGAGGGAGGGAAGAGACCTGGATGGAAGAAGGGATGGAGGTAGGAACCAGTAATTGATTAAGGGAGATGACAACCTTGGCTGGGTCACCCCGTGATCATGGAGGGCGGGGCGTGGAGGGAGTGAGAGGTCCTTGCGCGTCTTCCTGTGAGGGTGGTGGGAGGTGCAGTCTTCCCCCTTCCCTCCCAATCCATCCCTTCCTCTCCCCCTTCCCTCGCCTCCTCCTCCTTTCCCTTCCTGTTTCATTTCTTAATCCTTTTCTTCTCCTGTTTCCCTTCCTCTCGTCTTTACTCCTCCTCCCCCCTTCACGTCCACACACCTGAACTCCTTCATTTCCTGCCTCTTGTTCTACCATGCTGTTTCTTTTCTCTCTCTTCTTTCCTTTCTTCTCTCTTTCCTCCTTCAATCCCTCCTCCTTCACTGCGCTGGTGTGTGTGTGTGTGTGTGTGAGAGATTTAGATACTCACATATGACATCATCTATGCATTAATCCTGCTTTGTAATTGAAGGTCACTTATAAAGTATTGTGTAAACCTATTCTCTTTACTCACACACACACACACACACACACACACATACACGTACGATTGTGGACAACATTTGGTGGATAAGGTTGGTTGATTGTGGCGGAGGAGGAGGTAAATTGATTGTGGTTAGTTAATTGTGGTGGTTAGTTGATTGTGGTAGTGAGGTGGTAGAGGACAGTGGTAGATTATCCTCGGTCTCGCTAATACTCGAGAAGTCTTACCCTTCACCAATGTCGTCTACGTGACCTTGGGGGGGGGGAGGGCTGTTGTCGTTTCCGCTGTCGTCAGGTGCGCGCCAAAACCGATAAAAACTGACTCGCACGGGAAGCCCTACCTGGATAGCGCGGGAACTGTATACGGGATACCAAGATTGTTAAAGATACTAAATTTTTCCCCCCTCTTAACTGTGGAAATAACACGAACTTTTTTTTCCCCCCAACTGTGGATTTAAGTATTTTTTCTGCAGTGGAATTAAGAATATTTTTTTTTTTTTTGCTATTTCTAACTTTATAATTACTAATACCTTCAATATGGCGTCTGTTCTTAATTGAGGCACCAAACTCAATTCCCCAGGTAACATTAGGGTGTTTTAAGTCATCAGGTGAGAGGAGGAGGAAGGATGGCTAATCTTCAGGTGATATACAAACCAGGTAGATACGTCCTCACACCTATCAGTATAACTCAGGTACTAATGAGGGAGCACCTGATGAATCTCCACCCAACCTAACCTAACCTAACCTAACCTAACCTAACCTCATCCCCCATAAATAGCGTTTAGGTGATTGCTTCTGAGAATTTTTTTTCTAAGATGAGAACAGGAGGCGGAGGGGGAGGGGGGTAGTAGGTGTGTAAAGGTGAGATTTGAGAAGTACTGTTAATATTATTTCGTCATGGTGGGAAGGGTGTGTGTGTGTGTGTTGTGTGTGTGTGTCTCATCATCGTCAACATTAGGTGCACACAACATCCGCATTCCCCCGCTGCTGCTACACGACGTCTCTACTTACAGTGGTTATTAAGTTTGTGAGCCAGGCAGAACCGTCGTCTCGCTTTAAGAGCCTGCCACACACACACACACACACACCACACACCCACACACACACACCCACCACACACACACACACACACACCACACACACACCCACACACCCCCCCACACACACACACACCACACCCCCCACACACACACACCACACCCCCACACACACACACACACACCACACCACACCCCCACACACACACACACACCCCCACACACACACCACACCCCACACACACACCACACCCCACACACACACACACACACACACACCACACACACACACACCACACCCCCACACACACACACACACACACACCACCACACACCACACCCCCCCCACACACACACACCACACCCACCACACACACACCACACCCCCCCACACACACACCACACCCCCCACACACACCACACCCCACACACACACACCACACCCACACACACACACACACCACACCACACCACACACACACACCACACCCCCCACACACACACCACACCCCCCACACACACACACCCCCCACACACACACACACACACCACACACCCCCACACACACACCACACACACACCACACACCCCACACACACCCACCCACCACACACACCACACCCCCCACACACACACACACACCCCCCCCACACACACCACACCCCCACACACACCACACCCCACACACACACCACACCCCACACACACACCACACCCCCCACACACACCACACCCCCACACACACCACACCCCCCACACACACACCACACCCCCCACCACACACACACACACACACACACACCACACCCCCACACACACACACACCACACCCCCACACACACACCACACCCCCACACACACACACCCCCCCACACACACACACCCCCACACACACACACACACACCACACCCCCCACACACACACACACCACACCCCCCCACACACACACACCACACCCCCACACACACCACACCCCCACACACCCACCACACCCACACACACACACACCCACACCCCCCACACACA